GAATTCACACCCACACAGTCTCATTGCTGGACCACCCTGCTTCACTCTGCTGTCCTGCTACTGCTGGGATGGTTTAATGAGTGAGATCAAATGGAGAAAGTACCCAATACTTGGTGGGAGCCCAGTGGGTCTTAGTATTCCTTATAGTCTACGCTGGGTATGGAGGTGATTATGCCTTGCTTGCTCACTCACTCACTCAGCAGTGGTTTATTTCATACCTCTCTACGCTTGTCATGATGTTGGGTGTGGAAACATGGTACATGTAGCTTCTGCCCTCATGGAGCTTCTCGTCTAGATGGGGCAGTGAAGAGAGACTTGTAGAAATAGACAAGTGTCATTATGCAGGTGGTAAGAAGCATAGGGTGCTCTGAGGGCAGAGGTTAGGGGATGGGCTAACATAGCCTGGGTGGCCCAAAACCTTTCTCCTTGGACTTGTCTCCCATGGATGGACTGTCCCCTTGCCCTGCCCTCTGTAATGCAGCATTGTCCATGTTGGCAAAGTTGGGTGAAAAGCACAATCACACAGTTTCTAAACCCTGGGCAGAGACTTTGTCTGCTCTGCTGGAGGACATCTTCCCAGGCCAACTCTCAGTCCTCAGACAGGACTGGGGTGGGTACATCTTATGAAAGCCAGATCCCATTCTGAGGGAGAAAGGGACTTCTCAGGTTGGTTGGGATAGCTTTAAACGCCAGGCCTTTGGAAAGGGAATGTAACCCAGAGGAAGCTGGGGTTTCCACAGGCCCAGGAGGAGCCACCAGGGAGAGAGGTGTCAGAGCAGACCAGGATGCTCAAGAGGCTGGCTACCACTCAGGGATCATACCAGCAAGGGCTTTACCTCATGAAGACACTGTGGGGCAGTGACTATGGCCACCCTGCAGGGCCACTCTTTGCTACAGCCACCAGAGCTGAGTGGTGGGCTGGGAGGGTCCCTGGAGCAACTCTTGGAAGGAACGTTGGAGTAGGAGTCAGGGAAGCTAAGCTGTGATCTGATTTGACTACTACCTGAGTGGCCTGGTGCGAATCACTTTGCTTCTCTGAGATTTTCTGCAATGCAAGATAAGAGGCTGGCACACTTCTTAAGGTGCCTTTCAGCTTTCCCCAACTCTGGCTGCATAGAAGGAGAACCACAAAACCAGGAGAAGAATTGCCCCCTCACTAAAACCCACAGAGTGCCTGAGTGGGCACTTGCAGGAGGCTCACTGGCATGGGAGGAGCCTCTGGGACAATTCATTCCCCCAAGGGGTGGGAGGGTGGGGGATGATGTTGGTCAAGTCTGTTTTGTCCTTGCAGATGGCCAAGGTCCTTTGCACCATGGTGTCTGTAGCACATGGCTCAGCAACCTGAAGCCCCAAGACCCAGTACCCTGCTTTGTACGAAGGTAAGCACCCTCTCCACTCCAGCCATTGTAGGACCACTGGCCCTGGGAGCAGTGGTTTGAAAGGGAGAGATCTAGGCCCTTAAGAAGGCATCAGGGTCCCACGGGGCCTCTCCATTCTATCCCCTGGCAATAGAGCATGGCAAGGTCTCCAGTAGGGACAGAGAGGACAGCGGTGGGGGGCCCAGAGTACAATGAGGTTCAGCCTTTTTTCAAAAGGAGCCCAGGACAAGGTGAGGGTGTGCCTGGACAGGGGAAATGAAACAGCCTAGGGGACTTGGGAAGTCAAATTTGAGCTCATTGTCTTCTCCACCCCCACCACGCTACCACTGCCCCTCCCCCCCTGCACCTTCGGCTCCCCAGTCCCCGTCTAACTGTGCATCCATCCCAGGGTGTCTGAGAACTGAGCCTCTCCATCTGTCCCCCTCAGTGCCGGCAACTTCAAGCTCCCCGAGGATCCCTCCCGTCCTTGCATCCTCATTGGACCTGGCACAGGCATCGCCCCCTTCCGCAGTTTCTGGCAGCAGCGGCTCCATGACATCAAGCACAAAGGTACAGTTAGGGGCTTCCCTAAAGGCGGGGAGGGAGCACCAGGTGACCTGGCATCTCCCTGGGAGTAGAACTACAGCGACTGGAGAGTTGTGCCTCCGCCCGCTCTCCCATTTGCCTCAGCCTGTATGGACCAGTGATCAGAACACTCTGGGCCTGGGTTTCCACATTTGTAAAGTGGGGACAATACTAGGTAGGACACTTGGGGGTATCTGGCTGGACAGGTCTGGAGCAGTGGCCCGCCCTCTGGTGGCCTCCCTGGTAACTGCAGCCTGCTGGGTCTTGCAGGGCTCCGGGGCAGCCGCATGACCCTGGTGTTTGGGTGCCGCCGCCCAGATGAGGACCACCTGTATCGGGAGGAGATGTTGGAGATGGCCCAGAGTGGGGTGCTGCATGAGGTGCACACAGCCTATTCTCGCCTGCCTGGCCAGCCCAAGGTAAGTATGGCAGCGGCCCGAGCAGCAGGTGGAGCTTTAAAAGCACAGATTGGGGGCACCTGGGTGGCTCAGTGGTTGAGCGTCTGCCTTCGGCTCAGGTCTTGATCCCAGGGTCCTGGGATCAAGTCCCACCTCGGGCTCCCTGCAGGGAGCCTGCTTCTCCCTCTGCCTATGTCTCTGCCTCTCTCTGTGTCTCTGATGAATAAATAAATAAAATATTTGGGGGAAAAAAGCACAGACTGGTGCACTCCGGCTCCCAAAAGCCCCTTGTTCTCTGAGCCTTCATCTTAGCTCTAAAACAGAGGCAGTTGTACAACCATCAGAGCAGTGCTGTGAGGCTATCGTGTTTGCCAGGAGAAGAGAGGAGCCCTGAGCCATTCAGGAATAAACAGGGTCACGTGGTGGGCTAGTCCCAGTGCCCAGCTTTGCTACGAGTTAGGGGCTGGGATGCACACCTGGGATGCACACCTGCCTGGGAACAGGTGGCCCAGGCTGGCTTCATGCTTAAACACCATGCCCCGCTGATGGTCCCTGCTACCTTTGGGAGCACTTAGCCCCGTGAAACACGAGGAGTCAGAACAGACGGTTACCTCAGCCCTTGAGAATTTGTTCTCTCCAGACTCCTCCCAGACCCAGTGTTTTGTGTCCAGTGCTGGGGTCACTGGGTTTCTTGTGTGGAACAAGAGCAGAGGCTCCTAGACTTCTGTGTGACTGGGGAGCCCAGCGCACTGTGCCCTGCTCTGAGTTACAGTGGAGCTTCCATGAATAGTCTGCACTAAGAGGCTCCCTTTCTGGGATGCACACAGGTGGGCCTCAGAGCTCTGGGCGGGGGAGTGGCTTGATTGATGCCTCTCTCAAGCATGGTAAAATTCAAAGTAAATGCAGGAGCTTCACTGAATGGTCAGCTTCTTGAGACCAGGGTGGTGGCCAACGTTCATCTCTAGCTGGGCTGGGCAGGATGCCGGTGCACTCCTCATCCTGAGCCTGATCCCTGGGCAAGGTTCTGGCTGGGATGGCACTCACCTTGCAGCCCACCGTGCCCCCCACAGCCCCCTCCTGGCCATCAGGCCTGACTGCAAGCTTCACCCCAGCAGCGGGGACCTGGACCCACCATTTCCTCTGCTTTCAGGTCTATGTTCAAGACATCCTGCAGCAGCAGCTGGCCAGCCAGGTGCTCTGCATGCTCCATGAGGAGCAGGGCCATCTTTATGTCTGTGGGGATGTGCGTATGGCCCGGGATGTGGCCCATACCCTGAAGCACCTGGTGGCTGCCAAGCTGAGCCTGAGTGAAGAGCAAGTTGAGGACTATTTTTTCCAGCTTAAGGTATGGCAGCTGGTGTTTGGGCTGCAGCTCAAGGACACAGACAGGGGAGCCAGGACTGGGAGAGTCAGATCTAGGGGAATCAGGCTCATTCTAGTCCTGAAACTCAAAGGAATCCTAGAGGTGACTGGATGTCTGAGCTAGATGGGCTGTTAGAAGGCCTGCCTGTCCCATCCTGGTCTGCTTGCTCAATTAAACAAAGGCAACACGTTGCTTTATGACAAGACTCCTCAGAGCCTCTACCGTGCTACCGTGCATCGTGACTCCTCAAGATTGGGAGAAAGTATGCAGCATTTTCCAAATGCATTTATCTCAGAGCCTATGTTTCCTGGAGCATCTTGTGGGACAGGCATGAGGCAGGCTTGGCAAGCTGTTCAGGTGGTTCATCTCAGCTCAGGTGCTGATGGGAGTTAGTCTAGTGGGATTCAAGTACACTCTAAGCGTGACAGTTGTGAAAGCAAATGGTGTGTGGGTATATGTGTGATAAGGAAGCTGGGGGAGCCCCAATGAACAAGAAGTGGCTGGACCAGCAGAGCTGACACTCTGATTCTGTTTTCCCTTAAAGAGCCAGAAGCGCTATCATGAAGATATCTTTGGTGCTGTGTTTCCCTACGAGGTGAAAAAAGATGGTGCAGCAAAACAGCCCAGCGATCCCAGAGTTCCAGCAACCCACGGAAGAAGTTAAAGTTGCTGCCATAGAATTGAATGATGAAACCAACTCTCGATTATCTGAGGGCACAGGGCCTGGGGAGATGGAAGGAAATTGCATCCCCGAGCCTCATATCTTATCTCCCCAGCTGCTTCCCCACCAAACCCGATACTTGACCTGGACTATATAGCTCCCTGGACTGAGTGGAACCTCTTGTCTCCCTTGAGCCCACCCTTTCCAGGTAATGGAGAGTTGGGCCTTCCAGGTCCCTTGAAGACTAAATCTGCAGTGCCAGGCCCAGCTGATGGGTGAGAAGGATGGCACTTTCATCTGATTGCACCACTTTGAGTGACCAGCAGGAGACGATGTCGTCCTGCCCTGTATTTATTTGCCCTGTGTACAGTTATTTATAACTCTGTATTTAAAAAAAACAAAACAAAACAAAAACCCAGTCTTCTCTTAAGGGCCACTTGGGCCCTCCCTGTATGACTCCTTGATGGAGATATTTATATGAAATGCATTTTATTTTAACCACATTGTATGTGTGTGTGGGTGTTTTGTAGGGAAAGCAGCTCCTTTCGACAGAGTTAGGGATTGGTGGATGGTACCACCTGGACCCAAACCCCCCCAAGAGGGACATACTAGCTTGGCCAGGCTGCTTCTCAGAAATGGCCACCAGGTATGGGGCAGCATGTGGAACTTTGTGCATATCCGCAGGCCCGAAAGCGGGGTGAGGAAGCCAGGCTTGCCTGCCAGGCCTGCACTGTGCCTCACCCGGGGGACACCCTACTTCGGGGGGGTAGTAGAAATGCAGTCCTGCCTGTGATGCCGACTCCGCAGTGAAGGCCTTGACCACAATCCCATCGTAGAAAGTCACAGTGTTTGGCTCTGGGGCACCTGGGTGACAAAGTGGGTGAGATCGGACCACGTGTCAAAGACTTGACAGTGAGTGAAGGACACATATGTTCCCTGGGGAAGGCTTATGGGGCCAAGCCATGTTTCCTTCTCTTAGAATAAGGAAGGAGCTCAGCCAGGGGCTAAGTGAGCAGTCTGGGAAAATCAGGCTCCACAGCTTGGGTTGGGCCTCTGTTTCGTCGGCTCCCTGGCCCACTTCTCCCCTCCCCCTACTCAGAGGGGGGAGGCAAGGGGAGAGAGAGGCAGGCCAGAGTCCCAGCAATACATCTGAACCGTATGGTCAAGAACACGGTCACCCAGACCCAGGCTTTTCCCCTCCAAGATGCACACAGACCGCCTGGGATCTCGTTACAAAGGCAGACTGATTCTGGAAACCCAGCGGCAGCGCCTAGGATCCGGCCATTCTGATAGGCTTCAGGCGCTGCTGGTCCAAGGCCAATGCCCTGAGCCCCCGGCCTGGTTCCTGAGGCACTGGATTCTTGATGGAGTTAGCAGGGTGGGTTGGCATCACATGGACCCAGAACCAGCCCCTCCTGCTCTGGCCCAGGGGCTGGTAGAAACCCACACACTGAGTCACTCTCCCCACCACACCCTGACCCTGAACGCCAGGACCCGCAGTGGAACAACACAAACAGGTGTCAGCCTGAGTCAGCTTCTCCTGACACCACACCTGCCACCTCCTCCCACTGGGACACAGGCTTCTCTGATAAGCCAGCCCCGCTATTTGGCCTCTGGCCCAGCCTTTGGTCCCTCTCAGAAGTGTGAGGCTATTTGCTGGGTTTACCTGTTACCAAGCTTTCTTGCATCACAGATTCCAGCCCAGGAAGTCTGAGCCCAGCCTGCTTTCTCCCACCTGTGTGGGGTTTGTGGGGAACCACTGGGAGCAGGTGTGGAGGTCAGGACCCACACCATCAAAGCGAGCTCATGCTCTTTCCTCCCAATGCCCTCGCCCAGAACCTCCCCAATTCCAGAGACTCCAAAATGTCTTAAACACATTTAATAGCTGCAAAGATCCATGTGGATGTGCCAACAAGCATTTGTCTTTCTTTGAAAGACTGGGCAAGAGAAGTGCCCCCTGCTGAGAAAGGTCCTGGTGGTGGATACCAGTGGAGAATCGGGGTATCTTTCCTGGAGCAGGTAGGGTTGGACCTGGGTGGAAGGAAAGGTTGAAGGTAGGAGACCGCCTCCCCTGTGGAATGAACAGCCGGTGGCTTGAGGCCAAGATGGAGTTAACTGGGGGGAGATGTGACTGAGCAGCAGATGGGGTGGAGGCCTGGGCTGGGAGCTTGGGAAGGCCCAGGACTCTCCCTTTCTGCCAAGGGGACCGAACGTAGGGCTTAGCCTGCAGAGACCACCCTCCTCTCCCCAGATGGTAGGATTTAGGCAGCTGGAGCCCCAGGTGCTGCCCTGCCCGAGGAAGGCAGCCCCGCCAGGTGCCTCCTCCCCTCCAGCCTGGCTACAGCGGGAAGCAGAGCCAGACAAGGACACCATCTCTCCAGAAAAGCCCCAAGTCCTTCAGCAGGCTGGGAAGCACTGAGGCAGGGACAGGGGGACAGGGAACACGAAGGTGATGAGCAGATCCAGACAGCAGCATGCCCCAGCCGTGTCATCCCCAGGGCCGCGGAGACCCACCTATGTCTGCACGTGGGTCAGTTGGACGTCGCCCGCCACTTCCATGTTGTTGATGGCCGGCAGGTTCTTCAGGCGGTGGTAGTACTCAAACAGGTGCTGACCATCCACAGCTACCTTGAAGCAGTGGCCCTCACACATGATCCACACCTGGGCAGAGGCCACATCATTCGCACTCCCCTCGGAAAGTTCTCAGACCCAGCGCAGGCTCGCATCTCCCTCCGCCTACCTGCCTTCCTCAAACATTTAAGCAGGTCTCACGCCTGCCTTCAGGCCCACTGGGGGAGACACACTCCCCTCCACACGTCACCTGTGCTGTTATATACCCCATCCGGCACGCCTCGCCCACGTGGGTAACTGCTCGCCCTTCAGCCTCGCCCTCCCAGCAAGTCTCCCCTGCCTTCCCCGCACCTCGAGCCCTCCTGGTCAGGTGTCCCCCACCCCACCCCCATTCTGCCACTGACTCCGAGCCTCTAGGGGCAAGAAAACCGGCCTGGGCCACCCCTGTCCTCAGTGGCCAGCACACAGCTGAGTGCCTGTGAGTGCCTCACACCTGCACAGCTGCAGTGCAGCCTCCTGACTTGTCCTTCCCGCCCCCCTCATTCTCCAGGAGGCAACAGCCACATGTTAAAACATCACGACAGCTGACACTTGTGGCACACTTACTGTGCCCCGGCCACTGTCCCAAGCCTGTCACAGACATTATTTCATTTCATCCTTCTACCTCTATGAGACTGATACTCTCATTAGCCCCATTTTTCCTTTAGATGAGAAACTGAGGCACAGAGCAGTTAAGTCACTCGCCCCAAGTCACACAGCTATCTGTGGATCAAAGTATGCTCCTCTCTGGCTTGAAACACACTGACTTACTGCACTGAAATTCAGTCTTCTTTCCATGGCTCTCCCGGCCCTACATTAATCACTGTCAATGCTGGGTGAGGAGCATTAGGGCATATCTAGAAATACGGACGTTCAGGCAGGGGTGCAGCCAAACATTGCTTTTTCTTTCTGAAGCTCCTCAGGTGATTTGCATGTGTAGTTGAGGTCACGAACACCTACTCTGTGTGATCAGGCCTCTAGCCACACCACCCACACCTGTCCTACGTACAAGCCCCTCACTTCCCTGTCCCTAGACAGGCCCTGGCCATGACTGCTTTTGCAATGATAGCTGCCCATCAGGAATGCCCCCCACCTTGGGCCTTTGCAAGGTGGGATGCTTCTGTCCATGAGGTCTTGGCTTACATTGTGGCCTCCTCTGAGAGCTGTCCATCTAAGGCGGGGTGTCCCCTGCCCCAGAGCTCACTTGATCCCATTATTTATTCTGTTTTGCTTTCTGCACAGACCTATTATTTCCAGTATTCTGTTCATGATTGTTGAATGAATAAGTGAATAAATGAATGACAGCTCATGGTTGGGTCCCACCTGGTACTTATGGACTATAGGGCCTCAGGCCAGTAACCTGCACTGGTGAATCTGTCCCATTTGCAAGCAGGAGGTACCACCAGCCACCTTATGTGGGACAGTACGGGCACAACAAGAATAGTTGCTGAATAGAAGATTCCTGAATATGTGGGGCACTTTCTCTCCGGGGCCCAGCCCTCACCCCAGAGGTGTCAGCTCTCATGTGATTCAAGGGGCCCCCAGACGCCCTCTGCTCCCTCGTTCTGTTGACCCCTGGAGCCCCTCTGAGCTCTAGGCTGCAGCCCCTTACCGAGAAGCTCTGGCCTTGGACAAAAGGCATTTTTCGGGGCAGGCTTCGCTCCTCAGACCCCCAAGAGTTGTTGATCTGCGTGTTGCGGACCACGGTGTTCTCATTGAAGCGGGGGTTCAGGTGGAAGGCAATGTCATTCCCAGAGCGCAGGTTGATGTGGAACCTGGGGGTGGACAGCTCAAGTGGACCTCCTCTGCCCCCTGAGCCCTGAGCCCCTACCTGCTCCCACAACCTGCCCAGAGCCAGGGGGATGACCAGGGGGACCTTGGGTTCCTGAGAGCCCTGGCTTACCTCTTGGCACTGGGCAGGACAGTGCCTGACACGATGATGTTCTTGGAGGGGTACAACCCACCCGGGATGGAGGTGAAGAAAGGCATCGGCTGTTGTGGGGAAAGGGGCAGGTCAGCTGCGGGGGAGGAGCTTTGTGCCAATTACTGTGAATTTGGACTGTCAACTAAGTTTGACAGCCATACCTGTGAATAATATATTTTCAAGAAAGAATTCCATGATGTCATTACTTGGTTCAGGAAATGCCAAAGGAAAACTTTCCAGCATTCCTCAAAGTAATGGGCTTCAACTGTCATGAAAAGAACTTCAGCTGGACACAAAAGGATACTTGGGTCAAGAAGGGAAGGCCCTCTAAGATGCTTATGTTGAAGGGACAGTTTTAAAGGTGACAACTCCTTTCAACAGCCTTTTAATTCATTTGGATGTTTCCAGAACTTCAGCTTACAGAAGGACTGCCCTCATGTTGTAAGCCACCCATCACCTCCCACTCTGCCTGACACAGACAAGGCCTCCGCCCTCTCCAAGAAACCACTTACATAGGTTGGGGTGGGGTACGCCATAGGTGGGATGATAGGATTCTGTTGAAAGAGACCAGAAGTTCAGTTTGGGAATGCACACTCACACAGCCCCCCACCTGCTAGCAGGGGCGCCCTAGCGTGTGGCCCTTGGCTTCTCCCTTTCACCTTCCTTCCCAAGTCAGTCTTGGTGGGACTGCTTACCATCCTTTCGGTGATGGAAGGACCCGTTTTCTTGCTGGTCCCTAGGGGACCTGCTTCTTAGGCCACTGGGTAAATCCACCCTGATCCAGAATCTCCATTGTCCCAAGGGGAATTTTACTCACATGGCTCTTGAGCAGAAGGCCCAACCCCAGATACCCCCATCCTCCTTGCTACTCTGCTTTCTTCCTGCCTCTGGGACTAGAGTTCAGTCCTTGATGAAGAGGAAGCGTGGTCAGGCTGTGATTTGACCAGAGCTTTCAGACTTACAGGGAACGGCTGTCCAGGGGTGGTCTGCACAGTGTGGATGACTGTTTGAGTCTAGAAGAAAGAAACCCAGATTTGAATGGGCTCTCACCAGCATGAAGACCACCACCTGCCACCAGAGGGCACCACTTAACAGACAGCCTATGAGGTGAATCCACCTGGAGCCCCTAACCAGCCCAACCGCCCCCCCAGGCCCCCAGAATTGGCAAGTAGAAGTGTTTCTTCTCTCAAGGGGATGAGGTGGGGGCAAAGGTTTCTTCTACTTGGAGAAGAAATAGGCTGCACTTGTGGCCTGTGGCCCATCTTTCTTCTCAGGGGACTCTCTCTAGCGCAGCCTCACTTTCCAGGAGGAATAAGTCAATGTGGGGCCTCGGGCTCCTGTGGCTGCTCATGGAAAGGCGGGGCCTTGAGCAGAAAGGTGGCAATTCAGGTTGTTCCCCAATTCATGAGGGCCAACCACTCCCCCCACCCCCACCCCCACACACAGTGGGAGAGGCCCGGTGCCTGCCCTGCCTCCTCCTTCTAACACGTGGGAGAAGCAAAATGAGAGGGATCCCAGGAGAACTCGAGAAACTTACGATGGGAGCTGAGTTGCTCTGCCAAACGCCTGGAGACTGACCGGGATGAGAAAAGCAAAACGGTAGTTAATGTTGCTGTTATATTCCGGGGGCGATGCTGGCAGAAACCGTGGTAAAAAAGGCCTCTCCAGACTCACGCTCCCCTACTTCCTGCTCCCCATCAAGCTTTCCAGAGCCAGTAGCTGCAGACTCTCCCCCCCAATCCATCCCAGGTATGCTCTGGTTGGGGGGGGGGCACAGGAGCGAGGACATGCTCATTGGCTCCTCCAGAGGGAGAGACCACAGCCTCCCTCAGCTCCCAGAGGCAAAACCATGAAATCCAGTGCTGAATCTTATGGTCAGGTGAAGCCCTTAGTGAAGGCCTCCTGCCCCAGGCTCTGGCTCCAGCACTTTCACCGGGGAGGCACCCTCCGCTCCTGTTTCACTAGTGAGGCTGCGACGCTCAGAGAGGCCAATCCACTTGCCCAAGCCCCTCCAGGTACAAGTGATAGGATCCCAAATGCTACCCAGTTCTGGTTGATCATATCTGCCACATCCTGTCCTCTCCAGGCCAGAACCAAAGTTGGACTGCCCTGCAAAGACTCCCTGAAGCTTGCCCAGCCCTGAAGTCATCTTGGCAGGAAGCCACTGGGGCCCTCTTGGGACCTCGATGGACCATGGAAAGCTGGGTAGAGAGGCACCCCTTCCTATAGCCCCCCCCCACTCCAGTAGCCACAGGAAGGGCTGGGCCCTGCTTCCCTTATTGTTCTAACCCTCTCCCCCCCAGACTATCCTTGCCCTGGCCAGTCTCCCATTCTGCTGGCTGTGCACGCCACACCCCACATTCCTGGAGTCCCTGCTGCTTGCTCAGGCACTGTGCAAAGTGGGGGGATACAGATGAACAAGCCACAATCCCAGCCCACAAGGGGCTTGTGGGTGTGGGGGAGGAGGGGCCGGAGTGACAGGGACAGACACGTAAGCACAGTTACAACAGGATGTGGTAGCTGGCATAGCACGGATATGGACGAAGTACACGGGGTCACGGGGGAGCACCCGATGATGTTCCAAGCACCAAAGATGCTCCAAAAGAGTGACATTTAAGCAGAGCATTGAAGGGCTGGTTAAGGTCAGCTGGGGGGTTGGGGAGGGGTGGCGCAGAATGCTGTCAGCACTGGAACTGCAGGTGCCAAAAGTATGGTAGCCCAAGAAAGCCTCAAGTGAGGGAGTGTGACCAGGAGGTGGGCTGGGGCAGGACTGGGGGGCTGGATGGGGTTTTGCACATCCTGCTGGGGAATCCAGGCTTTACTAGAAGACCTTGGATGGAGCCTTTAAGATGTTTAAGCAGGGAGAGGATGCAATCAGATTTGGATGTACAAGGGCAGGGTCTCAGTGGGTGGGGTGGGTGGGGAACTAGACCAATGGTCTTTGTAGTCAGGGGTCAGATGGCCTAGCCTGAGGAAGGCAGTGGTGTGTGGATGGAGAGGCATGGGAGCACCACAGGGGTAAGGAGGGGAAGAGAGAGCCAAGGCCAACCCCCAGGTCCTCAGCTCGGCCCAGGTGGTGTGGTGCAGACAGGGCAGCTATGGGTGGGCATGATGGGGCCTGCCTGCTGGAACCAGCCTCTTGGACCCTCTGTCCTTCCTGCTGAGTGCTCAGCCTCCAAGGCCTCCACATCAAACTCACTTTTGGCTTTCGCCCCTTGGGCCTGGGTGGGAAACAGGCAGTCTGGGGGAACTGCATCGTGGAGAAGGCAGACTGGGTAATGGTAACTCGGGTGTTCTGTTAAAACAAAAGGCACCACAGCGTGAAGAGAAACATTAATGGAGCTAGAGGGCAGGCGCCTGGGCCAGAGGGAGGAAGCCTGGCAGGAAGGGGAGGGGAGGGCACTCAGGATCACACGGAGGGCCAGAGGCAGGGGTTAGGCTCCAGCGACGGACAGCAGGCCACAAACTCTCTCCCCACACCCCTACTCCCCTCCATCTCTCTCTCCTTCCCTGCTCTCTCCCCCCAGTAGGGAGGGAATATGAGAGATTAGGACAAAACAGAAAGGAGCTTGCATCTGTTGCAGGCCTACTGTGTGCTTTTCTCATCTCAGTGAGCACAGACTGAAAGTGGTGACAGCAGCTCCACCCAGCCTCCTACAGCCCTGTGGGAACATAGGTCCAGTGTCTCCCATCCTCCTGGTTTTCAAAATGGCCAGAAATCCAGATTTCCATGTGATACCACCTGACTTTTTCTTTTTAAATTGTGGCAAATAGGGAATCCCTGGGTGGCGCAGCGGTTTGGCGCCTGCCTTTGGCTCAGGGCGCGATCCTGGAGACCCGGGATCGAATCCCACATCGGGCTCCCGGTGCATGGAGCCTGCTTCTCCCTCTGCCTGTGTCTCTACCTCTCTCTCTGTGACTATCATAAATAAATAAAAAATCAAAAATATATATATATATCTTTAAATTGTGGCAAATAAGATTTCCCATCTCGGGGGATCCCTGGGTGGCTCAGCAGTTGAGCGGCTGCCTTCAGCCCAGGGTGTGATCCTGGAGACCCGGGATGTAGTCCCACATCGGGCTCCCTGCATGGAGCCTGCTTCTCCCTCTGCCTGTGTCTCTGCTTCTCTCTCTGTGTGTGTCTCTCATGAATAAATAAATAAAATCTTTTTAAAAATTTCCAATCTCAACCAATTTTAAGTGTATGGCTCAGTGGCATTAAGTACATTCCTAGGATGGTGTGGCTGGTACCACCAGCCATCTCCAAAATGCAGAAACTTCTTCTCCTGACCTTTTAGATGCTGGCAACACATTCAAAAACATTAAAACACAGAGAAGGTCAAACAGAGCCTGGCTTGGGCGCATACAGGCCGTTTTGTGACCTCTGACATATATTGCCACTGGGGCAGCAGTGACTATGCCCCTTCCACAGATGGGGGAACTGAGGCTGGGGGAGGCAAAGTCGCTTGTCTCAGATCCTGCAGTGGATGACAACGTGCAGACTTGAGCTAGATTCCGTTAGATTCCCAAATTCTTTCTGGATCCACATGGCCTCCTGACCGTGGTAGAAGTAGAGAATGAGAGAGGAGTGGCCTGGGAGTCTGAGAGACTGAGGCGAGTGTTCTGGACAAAGACAGGAACACAGAAGGACCAGACAGGGGAGCTGGACGGGTATCCCCAGAATCACCTGGGTAGGAGATTGGCTGTTATCATCAGGCCCACCCAACAGGAAGTATAGCTAGAAGGGGCCCCACACTCGGCCTCTGAGACAAGTGCCAAGTGGACAATCTGACCTGGAAGCTAATGTAGGACAGCTGCACAGCCCCAGTGATGGAGAGGGTGTCCACACAGTGGAAGGGCACGCGATGTGAATACTGCATAAAATGGCTCCCGTTCACCATCACCTGCCAAGACAAATGCATATTCCAGAAGAGGGGTCTCAGGCCAAGGCAGAAGATCTGTGCCCCTGCTCCCAGGAATTAAGACCTATGTCTGGTTTTCACATCTGTCCCCTGGGAGGTCAGGGGCACCAGCCTTCAGAGCTGTGCCAGTTGTAAGAACATGGCCTTACAACAACAAGATCCAGAGTGTATCTGAACCTAGTCTCTAATTGGCTCTTCTTGACTCTTTGGGTTCTTATGGTTGTTTATTGCAGTCAGTTTCTCTTTCTAATCGGAGCTTCCCTGAGGTTTTATTTAAATATGCATAAACATGTTCATGGGAAGCAGAGGAGAGGCAACCCTGGGTTGTACATTGAGTGGGAGGCACATCCACCCCCACATGGAGGACAGACACGGGGATACTCCCCCCCGCCCCCGTCTCCCAAGCCCAGATACACTACTCTGTTTACCAGTGCAATGCACAACAAAACTAAGCCATCCCTAGAACCTGGATAAAGCCTGAACAATATAGGGGCACCTGGGTGATTCAGTCAGTTTAGTGGCTCAGGTCATGATCTCAGGGTCCTAGGATCAAGCCCCACATCGGGCTCCCTGCTCAGCGGGGAGTCTGCCTCTCTCTCTCCCCAGCTTGTGTTCTCTCTCTCTCAATCTATTGAATAAATGAATGAATGAATGAATGAATGAATGAATAAATAAATAAATAAATAAATCTATCTAAGAGAAAGAAGAAAAGGCTGCAACAATATTACTGAAAAACAAGTGTTATCCTGGACCTGCAGTGGAGGAATGACTACAGCAAAGGAATAGGATTAACTAGAACTTTAAAGATCTGCAGGGCCAAAAAGCACCATGGTGATGTATCTAGTTCTTATTTCCTGAGTAAAAGAAGCGATATGTGGCCTGTAGATGCAGGGGAAGGTGTGTGAGGAGACTGTAACCCCAGAAGCACCCCTACAAGGGGAAGGTGCTGCTGGGTAATGGCACTGCACGTGTGATTACTTAAAAGCTCACGTGCTTTATAGGAGGCACCTGGGTGGCTCAGTTGGTTGAGAGTCCAACTCTTGATTTTGGCCCAGGTCACGGTCTCAGGGTCGTAGGATCAAGCCCTGCATCAGGCTCTTACACTCAGCAGAGTCGGCTTGAGATTCTCTCTCCCCCTCTCCCTCTGCTTGCACCCTCTCAATACATACATACGTATAATCATTTAAAAAAAGTGAAGGCTCACATGCTTTATAAAAGGCTATTCATCACATGCGATGGGGCTGGGAGGTAGACAGCAAGAAGGGGGGGTCACTGCTCACCTTGAAATCGCAGCTGTTCACCATGAAGCAGAGCTCAAATGGATTCCCCATCTGGAAGGGCATATGCATCTTCCTCTCCTCTGACCCCCAGGATCCTTTCTGCTTCGTGTTACAGACCACATATCCACCCTCCTCAAAGCGAGGGTTGAAGTGGAAGGCGATGTCACTGTCGCTGTGGCCACTATGAAAGTTCACAGCAAACCTAGCAGAGGGAAAGCAGACAGCCTTCTGTAGCCTGGTTTATCGCCCGCAGAGGGGGCAGCCTTGCGCCTTTGAGCCTTTGACTTGGGATTGTGTCAGTCTGTAGACCTGGACCTGCGTGCAACTTGTATGGCAGGTTTGGGCCTGTCCTTGGTTGGTTGCTATCCTTCCTAGTCACCTAATTTGTACTTCCTGTGTTTTTGTGCAGTGATTGCAATTTGCCCTTACAGTGTGATTTTCCAAAAATACATAGGAAATGGGTAGAGAAAAATGTTGACACTAGCAACAAGAAGCATAGGGCTTGAACACGGATTCAGATTTATATCAGAGATGGAAGTCAAGAAATGTGCCCAGAAGCAAGTGACTTTCATGCCAAGTTGATACTTGGAGGCCAGTCTCCATCAGCTCAATTGCAAAAGAAGAAAACAAATTTAAAGAATGTGTGAAATTGGGTACCAGGGTGGCTCTGTTGGTTAAGCGTCCGCCTTCGGCTCAGGTCATGGTCCCAGGGTCCTGGGATGGAGCCCCACATCGGGCTCCCTGCTCAGTAGGGAGTCTGCTTCTCCCTCTACCTCTCCCCCATTTGTGATCTCTCTCTCAAATAAATAAATAATATCTTTTTTAAAAAATGGGGGAAGAAGAAGGAGAACATGTGAAATTGATGAAATATACCTACAAAGGTAGTTACTAATAGAGAAACATCGATTAAACAGTAGCTCCAGGCATAAGAGCTTTCCATATGTCTGTCTGTCTCTCAATAGAGGTTGGCTTGTGTCTCACGCATGATGTGTGGGGAGGTGGCCCTGAAGTCAGCAGGCAGGCCTGGACCCAGATCAGACCCCAGCTCTGCACTGTTTGTCATTTGTGATCATCCTGAACCACACTACTCTCAGGTCATCATACCCTGGGAGCTGAGTGACTTCTTTTCTCTGGGGATGCTTAGTGAGGCGGTGTCAGGTGGCCCCCAACCAAGTAAACGCCTGTTCCTATCTCTCTTCAGAGGAAGCCCCCTCACCATCAAAACCACCTTTGGGTACAGCCATGGCTCTAAGGTGAGGAATTAAAACAAAGAACTTTGCAAAGAGCCTGGCTCACAAAAGGGGCACAATAAACGTTTGCTGGTCCTAAAACAAGTTCCAGTCTGAGGTTCTCCTCCCAGGCACCTCTGTCTTACCCCAGCCTTCCCTGAACTCAGCACCAGCCTCATTTGCCACCTGCTTCTCGGGGTCACTCTGGTCTCCCCAGCTACCGCCCAGTGCTCTCCTGTTACCCACAGCCCCCACAGTGTTAAGCCCAGGGGTGGGCCTTAGGAGGCATTCTATTAAATTCTTGCAGAGCCTGCTTGATTTCTTGCTAGAGGAACGTGAGTTCTGGATATTGTCCTCAACACCAGGTAGCTCCGAGCCAGCAGGCCCCACAGGAAACTGCCATGGCCCTGAACCCAGCCAGCCCTCCTTCTGGGAAAGGAGGCTGCCAGGGACTCTGGAAGCGCAGTCTAAGCCTGTATTCTTCTGGAAATGGAGAATATTGTTTCTGAAGTGTCTCTGGGTGGGCAGCCCGGATGGCTCAGTGGTTTAGCGCCTCCTTCAGCCCAGGGCCTCATCCTGGAGACCCGGGATCGAGTCCCATGTCGGGCTCCCTGCATGGAGCCTGCTTCTCCCTCTGCCTGTGTCTCTGCTACTCTCTGTGTATGTGTCTCTCATGAATAAATAAATCTTAAAAAAAAAAAGAAAGAGGGATCCCTGGGTGGCGCAGCGGTTTAGCGCCTGCCTTTGGCCCAGGGCGTGATCCTGGAGACCCGGAATCGAGTCCCACGTCGGGCTCCCTGCGTGGAGCCTGCTTCTCCCTCTGCCTGTGTCTCTACCTCTCTCTCTCTCTCTCTCTCTCTCTCTCTCTCTCTCTGTGCGACTATCAAAAATAAATAAAAATTAAAAAAAAAAAGAAAGAAAGAAATGTCTCTGGGTATATTTTTCCCTCCAGCTTAGAAAAATCCTGTCTTAGGGGCACCTGGGTGGCTCAGCAGTTGATCAGCAGTTGAGCATCTGCCTTCAGCTCAGGTCGTGATCCCAGGATCCTGTGATCGAGTTCTGCATCGGGCTCCCCATGGGGAGCCTGCTTCTCCCCCTGCCTGTGTCTCCGCCTCTCTCTCTGTGTCTCTCATGAATAAGTAAATAAAATCATAAAAAAAAACAAAACAAATCCCCACGTTAGAAAATCCCTGCCCCCAGGGAAGGATGAGGGCAGGAGCTTTTCAGGGGCGGGGGGGGGGGGGGGGGGAGAGGTGGGGCCGGTCTCTGTTGGACAGGATGGGAGTAGAAAGCCATCTTGGTGCTGGAGGAGAGGGAGGCAGGGGGAGAAAGGGACATTCAGAGGCCGAGGTCCCCAAGTCCCCTGCTGGTAGGGAGTAGGGAACTCTTGGCCTCGCTCCCCTCAGAGTCTCCTGGGGGCCCTGAGGTCTCTCAGAGAAGACCCACCGTCTGCATGGCCATATCCACCCAGCAGGGAAAGCCAAGGTGGAGGAAGTTGTCTAGAATCGAGGTGCCCAGCTGGGCCTGGGAGTGGTGTGAAGGGATCCAGGAGGTCCCAGACCCCTGGGAGGTGATCAAAGAGAGGACCAAGAGAAGGGCTTCCAAGAGAGAGGACCACGTGTCCTCTGTGTATCCCCCAGGTACACAGACCCCATGCAAACCGGGCAAGAGCCCCACTGCCTCACGCCACCTGGATGCTGCAGTCGTTACAGCAACTGCATGAGCTTCAGAGGGGTCTCCAGCCTCTGAAGAGATGGCAAGCTCCTCCCTGTTCCGGGAGATGCTCCCTTGAACAGGAGGAGGAGGAAAGAGCACGAGAGGGGTGTTTGTATTTTGAACCAACTTAGCATTTCCCTGAAAAGACCTTGAAACTGAAAGAGACCAAAATGCACTTGATGACAAGTTTAAAATAAATCTAGATCAGCCAAATGAGGGTTCCGGGCAGTTATGGGAAATGAAGGAAGCGATACCAGGCCGGGCACAGGCAGCTCAGGGGGTGTTGGGTGAAACAACCTGAGCTGATGGCCGCCACGGTTTGCTAAGGGCAGAGTCTGGAGGAAAGAAACAGTTCCAGGTACCTGGTTCCATTGGAGTAAAGAATGGTCCCACTGATTGTGATTTTAAGTCCGTCCTGGAGACCCCCCTGGATTTTCCCGGAGAAGGGGACACCCTGCAAGGAAAAAATGCAGGTCAGTCAGTGGGCCTGCCTCCTCCTGCTTGTTCGTCAGCACTTGCTAGCGCGGCCTGGGTGTGTCAGGCCCATGCAAGGGCGTCTCAGCCTCACAGATCTTCCAGGCCTATGAGGAAGCAGACTTGAGTCCAGGTAGTTCCACAGACATTCTGCAATTGTTCCGGGGAAACTTTGGGGCTCCGAGAGTTGTGATGGACAACTCCTCTCCCTTGAGCATCTGAGAGGAAATGACAGTTTCTAAGAGGAGGAAGTAGCATGTCCACAGCCCAGAGATGGGAAGAAGCCAGGGTAGTGATGGGGGCTGTGGGACCCCAGGCCAAGCTCCTAGCAAAAGCCCCAGGGCCCTGGCTGGAGACTCGAATGCCCAAGGGACCAAAGAGACCACCAATGTGTTCTAGAGGATAAACCTTCCGCTCGTGACAAGGCCAGGAAGAAGGCATCCTCCCCTGCTCCTGCCCACCCCACCCCCGGGACTATGGTGACCACGACTTTGCCCTCCTAGCCACCTCAGGTAGCACCTCAGTCCCAGGATCGAGTCCCGCGTCCGGCTCCCTGCATGGATCCTGCTTCTCCCTCTGCCTGCCTCTCTGCCTGCCTCTCTCTCTGTGTCTCTCATGAATAAATAAATAAATTCTCTTAAAAAAAACTTTAAAAAATGGATTTGATGTAGGTTCCACAAAAAAAAAAAAGAGGAAGAAGGAAATTCTTTGAGAACTGATATGAAATGATGCCATTTGTATGTAAAAAATGGGTGGGGGAGGCTATAAACATGCATTTAACTTATTATAGATGAAATATGTGTGGATGGATTCAAAGACACTGACAACCCTGGTTGACTCCAAGGAGGAATGGGGGGCTGACCCCACTGCCCCAGACATCCACATTCCAATCCCCAGACTTTGTGGATGCTGTATGTCACCTTACAAGGCAAAGGGGACTTTACAGGTGTGATTAAGTAAAGGATCCTGAGAGGGGGAGGTTATCCTGGATTATCTGGGTGGGCCTCCAGGTCCTCGGAGAGGGAAGCAGGAGAACAGAGTCAGTAAGTAATAGGACATGTGACAACAGAGGCAGGAAGCTGCTGGCTGTAAAGATGGCAGAAGGGACCCCCAGCCAAGTAAGCCAGCTGCTTCTGGAAGCTAGAAAAAGCAAGCAAGGCATGATCTTCCTTTGAAGCTTTATTGATACTTCTAAATTTCTGACCCCCAGAAGTGTAAGAAAGCAAATTTGTGTTGTTCTAACCCTGGCGGGACAAGGCTGTGGTGCAGTTTGGGCACGTGAGGGGGGGGCACACGCACATGCACAACCGCACACTTCTATGAGAAAGAGAGAGAACTTTTGGATTTACGGTCCCACAGACATGGGTTCGCCCCCCCACCACCACCACCAGTTCCTCGTGCTAACAGCTCTCCTACTGGGCAAGTCACTTGACCTGTCTGCACCCCAGGTCCCTTCTCAGAACAATAGCACTGCCTTACAGTGTTCTTGAGAGGATTAGATGAGAGCCCCAGTGGTGTCCAGGCCTTTGACAATGGCAACTGTTTGCATCAGGATGAATTAATCCCTCTACTCCTGGCTGTGCCTGGAGCCTGAGGACTTCCTCCTCTTCTGGCCAGGCTCTACAGGTGTGAGGGTGGGCAGCCTCCATCTGGAAGCCCCGTGTCACCTGAGGACCCAGCTGGCAGAGGTGGCTCACCAGCAGGAGGCAGCAGGAGACTTTTAGCCAAAGGATGCTGCCCGCCCCCTCAAGAGGTTCTGCGGCCGTTTTGGTGACTTAACCTGCCCCTATTACCTCATTACCCAGTATTAGTGCACTTTTACAGAGGAAACTGAGGCACAGAAGATTTGGTAGTTTGCCCAAAGCCACTTACCTGGTCAGCAAAAGCATGGGGTTGAAACTCTAGCACTCGTGCCCCATAGGCTGCTTCTCAGGATGAAGCACAGAAATCCTCTCCTGGCTCACCAAACGCTTCCCCAGACCAAACATTGAGTCTTGTTCTAATTGTGGTTCCAGATTCTGTCCTGGACCTCTGATAAGGCTGACCAGGTGAGGCGGGTGGCAGGTGACACTATGGGCAAGGAATGGGGGCCAGACTCCCCAGGCAGCCTGGCCGTGTGACCTTCCCACCCCACTTTGGAGGAAGCAAGGTTCCCACAGCTGGATGTCAGTGGGCTGTTTGGGAGAGGGTGCCCATGAGGGTGGGCATTGTTCCCGAGCCTGGGGCGGGGGGTGGTGGCTGCAACCATCTTATTTCTTGTCTGGACTCCAAGGCCCTATTTTAGCTCACTGTTGCCCATAGGAGGATTTTCCTTCTGATTTGAACATCTCGGATGCAAGGATAGGAAAGTAAAAACTAGTCAGCAGAATAATTAAATGTCAGGGCCTGGGAGGATCTTGGGGATTCTCTGATGGGGAAGGAACCCAAGGTGACATGCTTTTGTTTTTGTTTTTTTTTTAATTGGCATTTTATTTATTTATTTTTTAAAGATTTTATTTATTCATGAGAGACACAGAGAGAGAGAGAGAGAGAGGCAGAGACACAGGCAGAGGGAGAAGCAGACTCCATGCAAGGATGGGAAGGAACCCAAGGTGACATGTTTTGTTTTGTTTTTTTTAATTGGCATTTTATATTTTATTTATTTTTATTTTTTTAAAGATTTTATTTATTCATGAGAGACACACAGAGAGAGAGAGAGAGGCAGAGACACAGGCAGAGGGAGAAGCAGACTCCATGCAAGGAGCCCGATGTGGGACTTGATCCCAGGTCCCCAGGACCACATCCTGGGCTGCAGGCAGCACTAAAACGCTGTGCCACCAGGGCTACCCAGGTGACATGTTTTGATCCTGAGAGTGCCATGGAAGGTCAATCACTAGGGCCTGATCCGGCTTCCTCCAGCGACCCGCCCCCACTAGCAGTGCCAGAAAAGAGGCCAAGCAGGCCCCCTGCTGAGGTGGGTTCCAGTGTGGAGCCTAGCAGTTTTCCTGCTTAAGTGGCTGTTGCCCACCCCATGCCCATCCCGCATCCCCACCCCCCACCCCCCAAAGGGCGCTGTCAGCCCTTTGGCCCAGGCCCCTTGGGAAGCTCAGAGGGGCTCTGCTACAGGGCAGGGCCCAGGACACTAGCTTCCTAGGCCTGGGGCTGCTGCTTGGGTGCCTTCTGTTATCACTGCCCTCTCAGCAGGCACCTCCCTCTTCTGGGGATAAGACAAAGCACTTCCCTTATCTGCCACTTATCTTCTGGGCACAGTGACCTTAACTTCTCTGAGTCTCGATTTTCCGTGTATTATGTGGGGCTAATAAGGCTCACAGGGTTTATTTTATTTTATTTTTAAGATTTTATTTATTTATTCATAGACACACAGAGAGAGAGGCAGAGACACAGGAGGAGGGAGAAGCAGGCTCCATGAAGGGAGCCCAATGTGGGACTCGATCCCGGGTCTCCAGGATCACGCCCTGGGCTGAAGGTGACACTAAACCGCTACGCCACCAGGGCTGCCCAGTTCACAGGGTTTAAACAAGATCTGTGCAGACAGAACCTACACGCATGTGGCCAAAGGTACAAAAGGCAGCCCTGGGACGCCTGGGTGGCTCAGCGGTTGAGCATCTGCCTTGGGATCAGGCCGGCTCAGGGCCTGATCCTGGAGTCCTGGAATCAGTCCCCTATCGGGCTCCCTGCATGGAGCCCGCTTCTCCCTCTGCCTGTGTCTCTGCCTCTCTCTCTGTGTGTCTCTGTGTGTCTCTGTGCGTCTCTCATGAATAAATAAAATCTTAAACAACAACAACAACAACAAAAACCAAAAGGCAGCCCTTTGAGCCACACACTGCAGGAACAGCCCACTTCCTTCTCACTCCTGAGATGGCCCCTCTACAGACTCCCTTGGCCTGCCTCTGCCTTAGCTTACCTCTCAGGGAGCAGAAACCTCCTCAGGTCTTCCCTGCTGCCTCCAGACTCCTAATAATACAAAACACTTCCCAAGGACCCCCAGTGTGCCAGGCACTGTTCAAACACTCGAGACATGCTGCCTCTCAAATCCTTACTTACTCTAGGAGGTGAGTTTGAGGATGATCCCCATCTTACAGATGTGGAAATTGAGGCCCAGTGAGGTCAAAGTAACTTGCCGGAGGCCACCCAGCTATTCAATGGCTGGACCCAGTCTCCAAAGTAAGCTCACTAAACTGCCACGCTGGGCTGTTAGCCTCCCTCAGGAACCCTGTTTATTTCCCTGTTCCTACAAACTGTCACTCTCCTAGTTATCGTTCATGCCTGTCTCCCACTCCCCATTTCCCCTCACCAAGGACAGGCTCCCAGGGGAGCTTGGTAAGCATTAGTCAAAGGCACAACCCCTGGTGATCACCAGCCCACCAGCCCTGGGAAGCAGGGGAGACCGGCTTGGGGTTGTGTCAGGATTGCCTCACTTCTTTGCCCATTTTGTGCCATCTTTGGGACGTCTGCCCTCTTCACCTGCTGCCACCCCAGAGTTACCTCTCTGGGGACCCAGTGCATCCTGGGGCCCGCACCACCCCTGCCCGCAGCCCCGGAACTCACTGGGCTCAGGTAGGGAGGCTGGGAGCTGCTGAAGGCCATCTTCACACCACCTCTGTGGCCACCAATGCTCTTCACACCAGCCAGCCGGTCCTCTGCTCTGGGAGGAGTTATTACCGGGGAAATAGAAACCAAAGCAAATTGGCAGTGACCCAAGGAGGAGGAGCCAGGGGCAGGAGGAAGTGGGTCTAGAAAAAGAAAGCAAGTAGCGTGTTGAGTGGGGGCTGGAGGTATGACCCAGGCAAGGATGGGGACACTTCCCCCCCCAGTGAAATTTTCCCCTCCTCTCTCCTTTGCTCCACCCCTTTCAGAAAGCCTTAGGGAGCCTAGATAAACATCCTATGAGTGAGCTTGTATTTCTCTTCCTGCACCCTCATTCCCTCCTAGCCACCCCCAGAGGACCCTGATAAAGGCAGAACTTCAGGTCTGTGCTGGTGCGCACGCTCTCTCTCTCTCACTCTCTCTTTCCCTACAGCCTCCCTGTGTAGCCCCTGTGTGCCCTGCAGCCCCTATGACTTGTGAGTAAGAAACCTCGAATTTTCACAGGTCCCCGATGGTTGCTGCTGAGGTGTGCCTTATAGGTATAAGAAGAACCAAAGGGCTGGTCCAGCCACAACACTGGCTCCAATGCGGGAAATATCTGAGGGGGTCTCACCACAAGTGGTATGAGGTCAGTGATCACCCCAGGTATTTCTAGCCTGTAGCATCACTGAATCAGCTGAGACAAAAGCAACAACAGTTTGGTGGTTCCTTAAAAAATTAAACATAGAGGGCACTTAGGTGGCTCAATGGTTAAGCATCTGCCTTTGGCTCAGGGTGTGATCCTGGGGTCCTGGGATCAAGTCCTGCATGGGGCTCCCCACGGGGAGCCTGCTTCTTCCTCTGCCTATGTCTCTGCCTCTCTCTGTGTCTCTCATGAATAAATAAATAAAACCTTAAAAAAAAACCCTAAACATAGAATTCTTTCATGATCCAGCATTACCACTTCACAAGTGTCATAAAGGATTGAAAGCAGGGACTCGAAGAGATATTTAAAACCCATATTTATAGCAGCATTATTTATAATAGCCAAGAGATAGGAGCAACCCAAGTGTCCATTGTTGGATACACGGATTAAAAATGTGTGTGTCTGTGTGTCTATAGAATGGAATATTATGCAGTCTTAAAAAGGGGGGAAATTTTGACATAAGCTACAACGGTGGATGAATCTTGAAGACATTACACTGAGTTGAAAGAAGCCAGTCACAAAAAAACAAACGCTATATAAGTTCATTTACATGAGGTATCTAGAGCAGTCAAATTTATGGAAAAGAAAGTAGAATTGTGGTTGCACAGGGGTTGGGTCAGGGGAATGGGGATTTGTTTAATGGTTATGGAGTTTCAGTTTTGCGAGATGAAGAATGTTGTGAGTCGATGGCAGCACAACAGTGGGGAAGTACTCGATGCCTTCAAACTGTACACTTTAGAAAAAACTGTACACTTTAAAAGGGCTAAGATAGTAAGTTTTATGTTATGGGTGTTTTACCACAATTAAGAATTTTTTTAGGGGCACTTGGGTGGCTCAGTGGTTGGGTGTCTGCCTTTGGCTCGGGTTGTGATCCAGGGTCCTGGGACCGAGTCCTGCAACAGGCTCTCCATAGGGAGCCTGCTGCTTCTCCCTCTGCCTATGTTTCTGCCCCTCTCTCTCTGTGTCTCTGGTGAATAAATAAATAAAAATCTTTAAAACAATAAAATAAAAAATTTTTTTAGAATGTGACTCTGGGGATCCCTGGGTGGCTCAGCTGTTTGGTGCCTGCCTTCTGCCCAGGGCCTGATCCTGGAGTCCCGGGATCAAGTCCCACGTGGGGCTCCCTGCATGGAGCCTGCTTCTCCCTCTGCCTGTGTCTCTGCTTCTCTCTCTCTCTGTGTGTGTGTGTGTGTGTGTGTGTCTCTCATGAATAAATAAATAAAATCTTAAAAAAAAAAAAAAAAGAATGTGACTCTGATGGTCTGTATTGTCAGGCCAAGAACTGATCACTGTGGGGTCTCTGCTCCATTTGGTCTCACAGGGCTGAATCCAAAGCACTTCCTGTTGGGCTGATAAGGGCAGGCGGGCCTCCAGGGCTTTCCAGGGGAAACCAGACCAGCTGACAAGGAATCCGAATCTCACGCTAGGGTAGGGGAGGGCAGAGGAGGGAGAGGAGAGCCAGGGCCCCAAAGTCCCCAGGGAGCTCTGTCTCCTCAGGACTGAAGGGGAGAGGTGGGCTCTCAGCCAGGCATTGTGGGGAGGAAGGGTCGCCAAAGAACTTCCCAGGCAGCAAAGGTGAAATCCTGGAGCTGAGTTCGGACAAGTTTAGGAAAGGACAGAGGCAGCGAGCAAGAGAGGGAGTGGAGGAGGGCAGAGCCCACAAAGGCAGGGCCCATCGGGGTCCAGACCTTACTTCACAAGCAATGAGGAGCCTTTAGAAGTTGCTGATTTTTTTTTTACTTTTTTTATTTATTTATTCATGAGAGACACACACACACAGAGAGGCAGAGACACAGGCAGAGGGAGAAGCAGGCTCCATGCAAGGAGCCTGATGTGGGTCTCGATCCAGGGTCTCCAGGATCACACCCTGGGCTGCAGGCGGCGCTAAACCGCTGCGCCACCAGGGCTGCCCTGAAGTTGCTGATTTTTTAATCAAGGTAGAAACTACAAACAGTAAAATGCACCGGTCCTTAGTGTAGAGGGGAAAAAGGTGGTAGATGTCTGCATGCGTGTAACTACCACAGGCATTAGGAGGGAGGACGTCTCCCGACCCCGGAGATTTTCTTTGCGGCCTGGTGTGCCTTTGTATGGGCAAACCATAATTTATCCATTCGTTCTTCTGCTGGTGGAGATTTGTGTGGCTTTCAGCTTTATCTCTACAGCTGCTGTGAACAACGGTGGTGTGCGTATCTCCTGGCGCACAGACGCATGGTGCCTGTGGGACTCACCGCAATGTGGGGTAGACAGGTCTCCCTTTAGCGGCCTAGGAGGCTTTCAGCAGATAACAGACACAGATGTGTAGTTTGGGAGAATCACACAAACTTCCATGTGAAGCCTAGAGAAGCTTCGGCAATGGTGAGGGTCAAGGACTCATGTTCCAGTCTTGTACTCAGGAGGGTGTCGTGTACAAAACAGAAACTTAACAAAACTCTAGCTTGCAACTTGCTTCTTCCTCCTTTCTTGTGCAACCAAAGGTTGACCTTGCACTCTAGAGTGACCCCAGGGAGACCGTGTCCTTAATGATCTAGATAAGATTGACTCGAACCACATGCCAAACCTCAAAACTTTCCAAGGACCATTGTTCAATTTTGGTGTGTGATGAAAAGATCAGATTCTCGTGGATGTTGGCTCGCAACTACTGTTTCCACACATTTACATAAATTAAATTAGTTCCTTTTATCTTTCCTTCTCTGCCTTCCTGCCTGTCAGGGGCCATGCTCTTAGCCAGGTCACTGTTCTGCTTCTCAGATAGTTTGATGAGAAAAAGCCCGTGGCTTGCATTCAGACAGACCTAGGATTCATTCCTGAATGATATGTATTGTAAATCCTAGGGCAACTACTAAAAAAAAAAAAAAACAGAGGATAGTGAAGAGAAGATAAAAATGTAGAAAAGACAATGTGGAATTTAAAGGATACCTTTTAATCCAAAAAGAAAAATCAGGAAAAGAGGGAAAAGCACAGCCAGGACAAATAGAAAACCAGCAACAAACTAGTCAACCTAAACCCAGTTGAATCCATGATGACATGAAATGGTGAGGGACTTGACACTCCAAACCAAAGGCAGAGATTGTGATGACGGATAAAAAAGCAAGACCTAGGGGCGCCTGGGTGGTTCCGAGGTTGAGCGTCTGCCTTTGGCTCAGGTTGTGATCCCGGGATCCTGGGGTCGAATCACACATCAGGCTCCCTGGACAGAGCCTGCTTCTCCTTCTGCCTGTTTCTCTCTCTCTCTCTCTCTCTCTCTCTCTCTCTCTCTCTCTGTGTGTGTGTGTCTTTCATGAATAAATAAATAAAATCTTAAAAAAAAAAAAAGCAAGACCTAGAGTGATGTATTTTTTTAATTCTGGCATAATTCACAAACAGTGTTGTATTAGCTTCAGGTGTACCATAGAGTGATTTGACAATTCTATACATTTCTCAGTGCCCACTATGGTAAATTCACTCTGAAACCCCTTCACAGAGTGGTATGTTTTAATTGAGACCTCTTAGTTAAGCTGGGACTATGTTTCCTGAATATTCTCTCTTTCTGCATAATTCTGGATGCCACAAAACAAGTTTTGCTTGCAGTTTGGAAGGAGGAACTGGAGTTGCTTCCACACCCAGACGGTTGCCACTTGTGGGTGTTATTGCTCACCTGCTAGCTGTCCTGTTGGCGTGGGGGTAGCGGCGGGGCCTGAATTCAGCACCACTGCATCTCCTCCTTCACCTGCTTCTGACTCTGCTCAGATGTGTGATCAAAGGCTCATGCTTTTCTCCCGGGACATGCTCATCATCAAAGAGAGAGGCTTGGAGGCAGTGAGAGAAAATGTGTTCCACAACCTCGTGGGTTCCACTGATTCTCACAGGTTCCATTTTTGTCCTTGTTCCATTTTGTCCATTGTGTCCTTGCACATACCCCTTTGTGTCCCTGTCCTCTTCCTGACTGCCTGTCCTGCTGACTTCAGACTGTAACAGTGAACATAGAAGACTACTTGCCCAGCTCCCACAATTACAGATTCCTAGTAACCACATCCTACTCAAATTCCTGCAAAGCACATTGGAAAATTGTTCTGGGAGTTTCTTGCAAAGTTAAGCATACCTTCCTTATGACCTAGAGATTCCACTCCTCAGTATTTACTTCAGAGTGAATAAAGTCATATATCCACACCGAGACCCATGTAAGAATTTCATAGCAGCTTAACACATAGCCCAAGTATCCACCAAAAAACAGATGAACACACTGTAGCATAGCCACACAACAAATACAGTAATAGAATGAAACAAACTACGGATAAACACAATATAGGTAAGTCTCAAAGATATTATGCTGAGAAAAAGAAGGCAGTCACAAAATGTATGAATGCTTCCATTTCTATGAAGTTCTACAACAGACACCAGTGGC